CATATCCAGAGAAGAGATAAAGACAAGATAATTTCTAGTTCTTAATCATAATGAATTCCATTTTAGTATATTTCCTTAGAATCTGGAATCAACACTTCCATATGTGCTTGAGAGGAAGTATAATCAGGTGCTTGTAAATCTATATTAGGTGTGACAATTTGCTTAAACTTTTTTTGTTGTGTTGTTAGCAAGAGCAGAGGGGGTGTGACGCAGTGGAAAGAACAGTGGGCCAAAGTTATGAGCTCAAGTCTGATCTTCCTAGCTATTAAAGCTTGGGCAGGTCACTTAAAATCAATCAGTTGATCAGTTGATTGATTCATTCATTCAGATATCTATTTTGCACCAGCATTGTGCTATGACATGGAATATGTATCTGCAAGATAGGGACAGTAATTTGAGATTAAAATGAGGTAATACATATGACAATACTGTTTATGATAGAATGCCATTTATTTTGAATCACACGGTAAAAATCAAATTGAGAAAAATAAAAATACTTTTTAAAAGAAGTAATTGGATCCTTTAATGTGGTATCATAAAGTGTCTCATATTATTTATAAAAGATTAATATAGAATAGTTTTTAAAAAAACATTAATTTTTGAGGAGATAGGTCTTTCTTTGGAAGTTAGACATACTCAGAGCAATTCACACTGATGATACTGGGTGTTATTTTCTGAAGTTACAGTGGCTCAGCTTTTACTTCAGGAATAGATAAACAGTCATAACTGATCTTGACTAACAGGAAATTTGTCTATCCCTAGAATCCTGATTTGACTAAGGGGATAAATATGTGGGTTCAGAATATTTGAAAATGGACTTCAGGAGTTTTAATTGAAACTCATTAGTTTATATAGAGGTAATAGAAGTGACTTTTGGTGGAAAAAATTCCAGTAGTCTGTCATTCTCTGCTGGGTTTGGCCTCATATCAGATTCCAAGATGGGACGGAGTTGTGCAGTGACTTGAATAGAAACAGTGGCTGCATTTTGGTCACTTTAAATGTCATATTTTTGTTTGATGTGAACACCAATGATTCCTTGTTTAATAGTGTTTTTTGTTATATAGAAGATAAAAATCTGTTTAAAGTAACTACTGTTCTGGGTACCTGGGTGGCTCAGTTGGTTAAGCATCTGACTTCAGCTCAGATCATGATCTCTCAGTTAGTGA